TTACACCTGCTGTACACCTCCCCCACACACCCTGCACCCTCCCACACACACCACTGTACACCCCCCACACACCCGCTGTACACCCCCACACAACACCCCCACACACCTGCTGTACACCCCACCCACACACACCTGCTGTACACCCCACACACCTGCTGTACACCCCCCACACACTCGCTGTACACCCCACACCCACACACCTGTACACCTCCCCCACACCCGCTGCACCCCCCCACACACACGCTGTACACCCCCCACACACCACACACCCTGTACACTGTACACCCCACACACACCCGGCTGTACCCCACACACACACCCCCCACCAACACACCTGCTGTACACCCCCACACACACCCGCACACCCCACACACCCTGTACACCCCCACACACCTGCTGTACACCCCCACACACCCTGTACACCCCCACACACCCGCACACACCCCCACACACCCCCACACCGCTGTACCCCCACACACCTGTACACACCCCACCACACCCCTGCACACACCCCCACACACCTGCTGTACACCCCCCACACACACACTCTGCACACCCCACACACCTGCTGCACCCCCCACACACCCTGTACTGTACACCCCCACCCCACACACCTGCTGTACACACACCCCACACACACACTGTACACCCCCACACACCCTGTACACCCCACACACACTGTACACCCCCCACACCCCTCACCCTGCTGTACACACACACCTGCTGTACCCCCACACACCCGCTGTACACCCCCCCCACACACCCGCTGTATACTCCTCGCCCACAGTTATTGATCAATGTCGCTATACTAAAAATATAAATATGGAAGCGAGGTCAAGTGTAAAAACACATAGAGTTACCATGTAGTGAGGCGGGAGTGTGGGCGGGGTGTAGGGGTTGTGTGGGAGGGGTGTGGGAGGTGTGGGATGTGGTGTGACAATGACCTGGGTGTGGCGGGAGAGACACACCCTCCTGTGATACACTCAACAAGGTCAATAAACTGTAACAGACCAGAGCGGATATATTAATAAGACTCACAGACAAAAGCTTAAAAACAACTGGAAAAGAAAAAAATCTACATAAAAACACAAAAGTCTACGGAACAACACACAAAAAGAGAGCAACAGCAGCAATGAAATACAACAGCCGAAATAAAACCTAAAACCATAGTACAGGAGCAAAAAAAAAATAATAAAAAAACAAAAAAAACATTAATATAACCTTTTCCTTTTCTATTTTTAATTTGTTTCTACTCTTATTTTTTCGCCCTTCAGGCCCCGACAGAGTGACAGGCAGCCGGACGCAGTACAAAAAAGTGTAAGAGTCAGACACCCTCCCCCTCCCCACAGACACAAAACTCTACTATGGGGTACAATGAAAGAGCGTGTGGTGGTGGCGGTGTCATGGAGTGGAAACAAAAAAGCCAACGGAAAATAATTGTGATGGTTTGTATATAGTGAATCCCACCCTCTCTCTTGATATAATGGACTTTCATCTCTATAGTTTCAGAGTAGCGGGGTTTTCATCGAACGGACCCTCAGTACAACGGACTTTCCTTTCCATATAGTCCGTTAAATAAAAGGGTAGTAGGGTAGTGGTGGTAGTGTGGGAGGGTAGTGGTAGGGGTGGTAGGTGGCCAGTGGTGGGGTGGTGAGAGGTGGTGGTGATCAAGCAGTAGTGGGGGAGGGTAGTAGGGGTGGTAGGAGTAGTGGTGGGGGTAATTGCCAAGAGAGATGGGTGGTGATGATAGTAGTGTGGTGGTGGGGGAGGTATCAGTGGTGGTGTGGGAGGAGTGAATGGTAGGGGTGGTAGGGGTCAGTGGTGGGGTGTGTGTGGTAAGTGGGTGAGGTGATGGTAATAGTGGTGGTGGTGGTGGTGGTGAGTAGTGGTGGTGGTGTGGAGGTAGTGGTGAAATTGGTGAGATGATGGTGGGGGTGGTAAAGGCTGATGGTGGGGTGGTAGGGGAGGTGGGTGGTGATGGTGGTGGTGGTGAGTGGTGGTGGTGTGAGGTGTTAGACAGTGATAATCAGCTAACTGTTTCTGCCACACCAACCTAACTTGTCTTCCTTATTCAATGACCAATAAATCACTTCACACGTTTACTGTACCTGCTACTGAATCTACCTCACTGTACCTGCTGAACCTACCTCACTGTACCTGCTGAACCTACCTCACTGTACCTGCTGAACCTACCTCACTGTACCTGCACTGAACCTACCTCACTGTACCTGCTACTGAACCTACCTCACTGTACCTGCTGAACCTACCTCACTGTACCTGCTACTGAACCTACCTCACTGTACCTGCTGAACCTACCTCACTGTACCTGCTACTGAACCTACCTCACTGTACCTGCTACTGAACCTACCTCACTGTACCTGCTGAACCTACCTCACTGTACCTGCTACTGAACCTACCTCACTGTACCAAGCAGGGTGTATAGACTACAAGAAATATTTTATAATCATTACCTTTAACACACACAGGTAACAAAAATGTCTGGTTAAAATTTTGGTTCATCTGACAAAGGAAAATATGTTGTTTCTTCAGCTATAAATTGACTCAAAGGAAAGACGTGTTAACAGATGCAAGACATAGAGCTGGGACCCACACAGCCCTCTGGCGGCCTTACTGTGAGAGTCAGTTATTTCTTACTAATAATGATGATGACACACTGAGGCCATCACCCAAGCTTTTAACTTATTATTAACATTTCTGATCAATGTATAGGTTTAAGGCACTATTTCTTGTCGCCATACATAGACGATACAGTCCTTGAACTATACACCTAAGTACAGTATACAGTGAAATCTCTATTTAACGGACTATATAGAAGAAAATCCGTTATATCAAGGTGTCCATTAGAAGTAAAACCTCCATTTAATGAATTATATAGAGGTGAAAGTCTGTTATATTTGAGGGCCCATAAGATATGAAACCTCCATATAACGGATTAATATACAGATAGAAGTCCGTTATATGGAGGTTTCATTATTCCTTTAAGTTACTACAACCTTCTGGAAAAAATTTTCCAGCTCAAATCAACATTACGACACCATCTTACACCATATTGCCCCCGAGACAGGACAGCACACACACACACACACACACACACACACACACACACACACACACACACACACACACATACACACACACAATCCTTCGCGTCGATAACGTTGAAAATGAAATATAAATTCTCCTTGTGTTGTAAGATATGAATGACCGTTAAGACAGAACGTGTTTGCTAATTAATTAATACACAGTTGTGGTAATGAGAGGAGAATTGATAAGATGTAAGTATGTAACTATGTATGTGTAACCCCACTGACGACGACCTGATGCGATGTTATCAATAAGAAGCGACCGAGTGTTGTTACTAAGGCAGTGTTGAAGTACATACATACATACATACACAGCTGGATATACCTTAACGAATCACAAAATGTTCATACTCACATACACAGCATTTTCCGGAATTCATTAAAATGTAGACTTCGTTAAATCGAGTTTACTCATCAATGACAAAAATGGCGAAGGTTCAATACTTTATACGAACGCTCGCTGCCACCACACGAAATATCAGGTTATATATAATACACTTTCCTCGTATTACCTTTACTTCATTAACTTAATATAGATATGGATACATGTACAGATAAGAGATGTTTCATATTAATTCAGATGTACACACACACACATACGAACAGTCTCTCTTATACTCTACGGACTGTACAACCCTTGTTTATATCACTCCCTATATTACCTGGCTTCAAGTCTATTACGTGTGTGTGTGTTGTGTGTGTGTGTGTGTGTGTGTGTGTGTGTGTTGTGTGTGTGTTGTGTGTGTGTGTGTGTGTGTGTGTGTGTGTGTGTTGTGTGTGTGTGTGTGTGTGTGTGTGTGTGTGTGTGTGTGTGTGTGTGTGTGTGTGTGTGTGTGTGTGTGTGTGTGTGTGTGTGTGTGTGTTGTGTGTGTTGTGTGTGTGTGTGTGTGTGTGTGTGTGTGTGTGTGTGTGTGTGTGTGTGTGTGTGTGTGTGTGTGTGTGTGTGTGTGTGTGTGTGTGTGTGTGTGTGTGTGTGTGTGTGTGTGTGTGTGTGTGTTGTGTGTGTGTGTGTGTGTGTGTGCATTATCGGCCATATTATTTATACATGCACGTCCAAACTTACACATTCTCACCGAAACAAACACAAACACACCCCTGTAGCCGTCCATTCATCAATTCATGTTAAAATAAACACCAGAGGGAAAAGAAAATAATATTCCAGTTGGTTTCCTCCGATTTTAATGAAATTGAAGCTATAGTTTTAACTAAAGCCAATTACCTCCCACAGAGCGCCAGTATCCATCACCTACGACTGATTTTTAACGCGCGCGAACTTGGCCGACTGACTGAATATTTACGGTGACTGGGCGGCGTCGGCGGGCGGGAGAGGGAGGGAAACAGTGCTTTATGACCTAATTGTCTCTAAGTAACATATAACACCTGAATGGATAATCTTTGGTCAGGACATTCTCTCCCTTTCTATAACTGTACTTGTGCGTGTGTGTGAGTAGACGCACCATACACGTCCACTCACCTACGTAGCCATACAAATAGTCAATATCCATTCAATTGTTGTTTTGATTCACAGAAAAAACCCCCAGTTATCGTGGAATGTACCTCAGACGGGAACACGTATGGAAAACAATACTAAATAAAAATATAAATAAATATATACATAAATGAATAATTGTCTATAAATATAATTGTTAGTAAGTTTGTGTGTGGGTGGATCACACACAAACTGGTGACACCCCCATGAAAAAACGTCCATCAGTCAGGTCAATAAGGCGGAGATGCTTCCTCTCTCCCTCTACCTATTCCACAACTGTCCTCCCTCCCTCCCTCTAACAGCGTTAGGACAGATGGAGGGAGTTCGGGAGGGAAGGTGAGAGGCGTGGGTGTGAGCAGGGCATAAGAGGCAGCTGCAGGGGGAGAGAGAGGAACACTCACGTCGGTGCCGGTGAAAGGATCGGACGGTCGGTCGGTACACATACACACACCGCCTCGCTCACCACCCGTCCCCGCCACGCTACGCCACCCCAGGATACATACCGTAGTGTGACCCCATCCCCTGTGTGTTGTAGTCACTTTAGTGTGTGTGTGTGTGTGTGTGAGTAAGCGTTGATACTCACCACCACCACCGCCCAGTGTTCCTCTACACACACCTCACCCCACACTCCAGGTTAAGATATATCCCACATTACTTACTGTTTCATTAAGTCATCAATTAAAGCCATGTTTAAGCTTATCACTATGAAACCACTTGTGAAAACCACCCCTTGTCCTGTGTAACGATGTCATGAAATTTGTAAATTACATTATTAAATGTTTTGGAGTAATCCAGTGGTAACTGAAGTTATTGCAAGAATAAAAATCCCTAACGTGGGAGACAACAGCAAGTAACAAAATCTTACTGTATGAATTTTCCAGATTCATATACAAGCCTATAAATGTTTTCCACCGTTTTTTAAATAATACCGAAACATTAACTGAACTGTTATTATTATTTGTAGTCACTGTTGTTCCGTCCCGAAGACAAGAGAAAAACTCTGCAGATTATGTGTAATGAACATAACATAAGAATTGAGGAGTCTGCAGCGGGCCTGTTGGCGCATACTGGGCAGTCCGGTTTACACTTGCCCGGATTAATTTTTTTTCACTTGCCCTGACAAATTTGGGAGAAAAATTTTGAGCTTCATTACTGATCGTCAGGTCAGGTCAGGTCACTGTGATAACAGACCTATAGAAATAGAAGGGCTCAGCTGTGACGTCACGATATGGCAGGGGGGGGGGAAAACGGGACTGCCCACTTTGGGCCAATAGGCCCGCTTTAATTTCCTCCACGTATTGTATTGTACTCAGACGATTTTGTATAGTAAAAAGTAATTACTACTGACCTCAGAATATCTCCTAATATCAAGTGCACATGGCTTCAAAATGCCCATAATATTGGTCAGAATTCAAAAATTTTCCGGGGGCGGTCTTACAGCGCCCCCCAAACTGGGTGGGCTCCTGTGCTCGCCATGTTCCCCCACCCACAACTTCTTGGATCCCCCCCCCCATTTGATATTCTTGGATCCACCCCTGTATGTTGTCAGGTCAAGCACACACACACACATCACCTCGCTGGGTAAACATGTACAGGCAGGTGTGGTCACAAATTATCGTCTAGGTATTTTCCTCTCAAAATCTAAACTTGTCAGCCAGGCAAGTGCTGTGTACACGGGCGTGAAAATCACCTGTCCGGCCCCAAGTTCGGGCACGGCCGGGTTGGCTGACAGTGCTAATTTATACAACCTCTTACACCAGCACCACCCATGTTTATGACCACACTGTCACCCTCAATGTCTACCGACACATTACTCGTAACACCACCACCATCAGTGTTGTAACACCACCACCACCAGTGTGGTAACACCACAACCACCAGTGTTGTAACACCACCACCACCAGTGTTGTAACACCACCACCATCAGTGTTGTAACACCACCACCAATGTTGTAACACCACCACCACCACCACCAGTGTTGTAACACCACCACCATCAGTGTTGTAACACCACCACCACCACCAGTGTTGTAACACCACCACCACCATCGGTGTTGTAACACCACCACCACCATCAGTGTTGTAACACCACCACCACCAGTGTCGTAGCACCACCACCAGTGTTGTAACACCACCACTAGCATTGTAACAATAATGGTCGCCCCTCGTGTACGAGAATGGCCAGCCCAAGGGCCACCTAGGTGTGAATTTGTTTAAGGCGTTGAAGCTGTCGCCAACACAAAAATCACACCCTGAGTTAACAAGTTGCATGACCCAGTGTTAAGGAATAGTCCGAGAAGACCGGACAACTCGCCAACAGCACTGGCAAACCATTATCTCGGAACATGATCTGCAAATCGATTAACATCCAGGTTTCCAATTACTGCTGGGTAGACAGAGGCAAATGGCATAAAGAAACTTGGTAACAATACCACCAGTGTTGTAACAGTACTGTACACTTACACAACCTGTTTTGAAGACAGATCGTGTACAGGCAGGCGCCTGTGATGCTCAAATGCCCCGCTATCTTTGGGAATATAATACAGTATAACAATTGTAATATTAATTACCTTCATGTTGTTCATAAGAAGCTACCAAGTTTATTGTCTGAATAATTCAGTGTTTATAAGCCGTGTGTGTACATGAAACACTGTTTATCTCCCTACGACAGGCAGTAGCGTAGAGCGGTAGAGGCACCCACGACCACACTAGGCAGGACCTCTGACACCACTACACCAACACCCCTCGACTAAATCATTCCTGTACGAGGTGTGAGGACACTTGAGAGGTGGTGACCTGGACACTGGGGGTCAGCTAAGGTCAGAGGCAGGAGGAGGAGGAGAAGAAAGGAGGAGGAGGAGGAGAAGAAAGGAGGAGGAGGAGGAGGAGAAAGGGGGAAGAGGACAAGGAGGAAGAGAAGGAGCAGCAGTAGTGTCAGCATCAGGAGACGACATTAAGGGAATCCATACATTACTTCACACACACACACCCCATCGGACCATGGTAAGTCTTTCACTGTAGTTCTTTATCTGGTAATCCTCTCTCTCTCTCTCTCTCTCTCTCTCTCTCTCTCTCTCTCTCTCTCTCTCTCTCTCTCTCTCTCTCTCTCTTATACTTCTTCACTATGAATCAAAATGACAAGACAGGGATAACAGATGGGTCTCTATCCATGCCTTATACTAGCTAAGAACTGTTTCCTCTCTCAACATTCTCTCTCTCTCTCTCTCTCTCTGGGCATACATTTTCAGATAAATCTCCGGCAACACAAAGAAGTAATAAGACTCGTGTAGATTAGTACTGAATAATATGTTTAACAACTAATAACCTTTTCATCAGCTTCTATAACACACACAGACACATGCGCACATATGCATACTGTACATACATAAACATAAATGTGTAGACATCTACACAAACAAATAAATACACATATACCAACAACACACACAGAACTACACATACCCACAATCATGCACACAACATACATACAAGCAACATACACAGAACAAACATAATACTGCCAGTCAACAACACAAGGACAGGACACACAACAAACAAACACACATAATGCTGCCAATCAACACAGGGAGGACAGCTGCCCCCATCCATCGTGATACTGTACCTAAAAAACAACGCAGAATAACCACCAGATACGACCAACGAACATTTTTATTTTTCCACACGTTATATAGTTACGCTCCACCAACGTGTGTTCCCATATGCGAGCTTGACACTTGAACTCAGGGTCATTACAACGTCAAAATTGGCCTGTCAAAAATGCTGTAATGGTCATATTGGGATGATAGGCTATGAATACAATTATGTGTTGATAACATCACTACTGTCATCGGGATATTGAAGGTAAACATCCTGATGTTAAACCACGTAAACTGTTGTACAGTCTATGAATAACATGCAGTGAGAAAACAGCTCCAGAACAGTACTTAACTTTTGATGATTATTTCTTAATGTTTCTTGGATAAGTCTGGGTAGGTGGGGTTAGGAGATATACAGCATATACAGTAATATTTTTTGCTTATTTATAATACAGTATATTGTATTGTATGTGTAGTGTGGTGTTTGCATAAATAAATACAGCTCTGTGTCTGACCATCTTCAGTTAAGCCTCTGTAGCACCGGAGCTCCAAGCCAAATGTGGAGTTTAGATGTGGAAACATTCACCAATGACTGGAAATCTCTCAAACTGTACTGTACTGCATGTAAAGTATTTCACTTATGTTTATTATTGGTTTATAATCAATGTGTACACCCAAAATTTTTCATTAACTCCCTTCTACATTAACACCATTTTCAATAATTTATTTGGCTAATGCCAGATGATTTCATTCAGCTCAGAGAGGACCCTGTATACAAGAGGCTAAAAAATGTTTTGTGTCATTTCAAGATGTTTTGGGGAAGTGTTTTTAAGGAACATATCTCAGCTTTTATAATGGGAGTCTATGGGAAATGTGTTTCGATTTACAAAAATAATAAACTGGAGTCTGGCTGGGTATGGTGAATACACTGTACGTATTGTTAGTGATACACAGGGTTATGCATCCTTGATAACATGCCATCGACTGATCTGTTGTGTCATGTACAGTTGAAACAAAAATAACTTTACAAAATTGTGTTTGATAATATGACACAACGGACAAAGGAATTTGACAACCCTACCGAGACAACAGGAGTTGCAGTGTTCATTCTGACAATCATCGACCCCCCCCCCCAGTACATTATACTAAAGACTAACATTGCAACGTGTGCAAAATCATTTAAAATTTAATCTCAATGTCATACAGAATTATACCACTAGATCTTCGGAATATATTCAGAAACTCTTCAGTTCTAACACCTGTACAGGTATTAAGATTTTACACATTTATATCTGGTACGGTACTACATTTTATATCATCTGTGAACGATATACTAATTAGCTTATAAATTCAACTCCTAGGTATTAATCTGTTTGAGTTGAGGAGTCAATACCAAATATATATCTCTTAAGTATCTTCACACACACAGGGATGGAAATGTCAAATTGATTTTCCAAAATTGTAAAAATGGGTCTTTACAATGTGGTACAGTATTGTACTGTAGTTTGTCATGAAATATTTGGTTATTTAAAGTAAAAAAATATAAATGACTCCAATCACTTCTTTACCCAGCAGGAACAGGGCATGACATGGGTGGGGGTGACCTGCCTCGTGTTCATTCTAGGCTGTTTCTGGGAAGCGACTGCTGCTGCCCACGATGTCAAGCCTTGTTTATCTCCCTCACTGATGGATCAACACATACAAGACATTGGAGATGAAAGCTTGAGGAAAAGTCAGAATTTGTTTAAAGACAAGACTGAGGAGGAGATAGACAACAACAATGGGGTGACTGTTGACAAGACGGGACACCACAAACGAGTGTTTCTCAGTCGCGGCTGGGGACCGGGTGGCTACGAGGCACCGCCACCACCCCCACAGAGGTTCGTGCGACGCCCGCCAGCACTTCACCCACCACGTGCAAAGATCCACGAAAAACCACCAACTACAGCCGTAGGTGCGATTCATTTATTAAAAATTTTACCTTCTGTTAAATGTTCATATACAATGCTGTACTACAACTAATAACTTCATAAAGTATACACATTTATACACACTACATTGTGTTTTTAGTACAGGAGGTCCTCTTTATATGCAAGAGTTGTGTTCCCCTAAAGTTTGCATAAACTGAAATTGCATAAAAAAATTATTAAAAGTTAAGAATAGAGATGTATTCCACAAGCTACACTTTATCACCCAGATCCATTTCTGCCTTTATTGTACTTCATGACATTGAGACAATAATCACCTACAACAATAAGGAGACAAACATGTCACTGAGTGTATATAATGTTGTGTTAACTCTTATCCCCTCTTGCACATTAGTATTAAATATTTAGCCAGGTTACTGCTGCCATGGGAGTGGTCTGGTTCGGAGGCCGTGTGGGGCTTGGTGTCCGTCAAATTTAAAAAGGCAGCCAAGTGTAGGTGGCTTTGCCTTCGTTATGGCCAAATTTATCAGTCTCAGTCAAGTGAGACTTTATTGTATCTATGGAACTGATACTTAACCTCTTCTCTACACAGACACCACCTGTATTATACCTTATTTGACAATTTTATTCAGCATAGAGGGACCCTCAAGCAAGAGGATACCTTCTTATATGTTCATAATGTATATTACTGTAGTTGCCTAGTCATTTAAAGTGGTGATATACTCGTAGTTCAGGTGGTAACAATCTTGACCCTCCAGTTGTGGGAAACAGCATGAAGGATATGACACTGTTTATATATTTATTGTATTCTTCATCAAAATGATTTATTCCACCACATCAGGAACTTCTTGTGAGCAATGAAGACAATGCTTAACTAAAATGAAGAATAACTTTAGTTCCTAACTCCACAGGTGGTAACGGTGGTGCCTGGTATGCAGCCCTGGTGTCCCCTCACCGACAAGAACAAATTCAGCAGAAGCCTCAGTATCGTCAGTTCCACTCAATTTTCACCTCTGGAAACTGGAGCCCATTAGGAAAGCGCGGCGGAAGTATTAACGTCATCGATGCTTTTGAGAACTCCTTGAGGAAATATAAAGATAATGATAAAAAATGGCTGGGATTTCTCCTCGATAAAGAAGACGACAACGTGACCACAGGTGAAGATAAACGAAGTGGAGTGTTTGTGTCTTCAGGCTGGGGAGCTGGAGGTTCCTCTCCCGTTAGACACCATACTCCACGAGCAGCTTGAGACGCTAACCTAACCTGGGGTGTGGTGGTGGGTGGGTTTAGGTATAACAAGCAGTGGCAACAGTAATGAGGAGTGGTAGAGTATTCCCCAGGAGGATAAAACCTTCACCCATGGATGTGGTCATATGGGCTGATGAGGTGCTTCACTTTCACTCTCATTAACATACCAGTAGAACGGTTAACTCCCTCTATAGTTCAAACAAGGTAACTCAACACTACCTATTATTTAAGAGGTGTTCACATCACTCATTAAAGCACTAAGCTTAAATTCATAGTGACTAATGAGACACTCTCCCCAACATACTCCTATTCAAATTGTAATTTTTCCCCTAACTGCAGAAATACTTTTAGGAATCCCAAGTTTTTTTGATGAATAAATAATTTGCAAACATAATCTCACCACTAGTCAAAATGTACCTCTTTGACAAATACACTCCTCTCATCATGAAGCAAATACAGTATACATCAAGAATGGGTACTTAATGTTTGTTAAATATGTAAATCTTGTAAAATGGAAAAAACAAATAATAATAGAATAATGGCTGAAGATGTACAAGTTATGAGATAACACACAGTAATTTATGTAACAGGAAACCCAAGTCATAAAAAAACAAGAGAATAAAAAAAATATTCTTGTATCAACCATGAAAATATGATCAATAAAAATTGCATTACATTCTTTGAGTTTTCCAAAGAACATGTCCAATTATTGTCATAAATATAATCTACAGTACAGCACAGTGAAACCTCAATATAACAGACTTTTCTAAATAATCCATTAGACTGCAGTTTCACATCCAATGGAGCCTTGATATAATAGGCTTTCCTCTCCATATAGTCCAGTAAATAGAGGTTTCACTGTACAGCATGTTGATAAGCTTTGTTCCCTCACTATGTTGTGCTGCAGGTGGCTGAAAGCAAGAGCGAGAGTCACTTGTCCTTTCACTCACCCTCACCAATGATTTCCACATCGCCGTGTAATTTCTGCATTTCTTAATTTTCTACATTCACTTCAAGCAACGTACAGGATTGATCACAAAAATTTTATTACTCTAGCTACTAATTTGTATCTTATTCTTGCACCCAGAGTCCAAACATCACTCTTGTGTAGCAATGTCAGCTTAATAATTTTTCTATACATTCCAATTACTAGAACTAGAAAATATACATATTAACTAGAAAATATATACTGTATATTAAAAATAAATGAGTAATGGATCTTAGAATACCATTTCATAGTTGAGCTGAGATCAGGTGACTTCATATACAGTACTACAGTCTACAGGGTCAAAACCACAGATGGGTCAAGTTGTCTAGCATGTATGACACTGTAGTGCTAAATAAGACGTCTATGTAGATGACCAATCCAGACTAAAATGTCTGAATTGGGTATTCCTTCCTGACCACAGCCATAAGGAAAAAGAGAAGGATAAATTACCCAAAAGTTGAAAACTGAGGAGACTTACTGCTGCACTACCAGAAATGTTCACCATAATCATCACCGGCACGTGTTGCGTTATTGCCCCACAACTCAGGACCGCTAGCTTGGTTGAGTCAGCTCCTCCCCGACTTACGACCACTTGCACTTATGACCTGCCTCAGTCTTACCAAAATTTTGTCAAATTACGTATTTTCGAGTCCCAACGTCAGTACACAGAAAAACTTTTCGTTTGTAATTCACTTTAAAATGGCTGGCAAGCTTAAAAGTGAGTTTTGTGGTGCTGAGAAGAAAAAGAGACACCCATTTTAGATTTTCTATGTATTATTTAAGCATTTTCGACTTACGACCATTTCGACTTACGACCTGGATTTGGGTCCCTAACCCCGTCATAAGTCGGGGAGGAGCTGTATTCTTAATGGACAGAGGGGTGGAATGTGAATCCCCCATTCTACAGTACTGTACTCCTGTTCCAAATCCATGTTAGGAAGAAAAGGAGACCACAGAAAAAAACAGGAGTTAGTTCTTGTGCTCTGAAGAATATAAGTGGATTAAGGCCAAGTTACAAAGTGTTGGACCAAAGAAATTGACCATCATCACGACTGGAAGACAGAAACTCAAAAACTCATTCACTCACACACAATGAGATACTTAAAATCAACCGGCACAGAATTCTCAAAATTCTAGAACATGGAATAGATTTCAGAAACCAACATGAACTCTAAATAACGCTGTTTCTTAAGAGAGAAATAATAGCAAATATCTTCCTCATTGTGTGGACCAGCGAACACTAACTTATTTATAACTCATCACTTGATCCACAACCCTGATACTGTACGGTATATCATTACTAGTGGTATGATTGAGGAAGCATCTTAACCAAGCTGCAAATGCTTCCAAATGAGCTCATAAAAACTGATTATTTCCCGATAACCTCATGGCCTGTATTTGAAGTCTGCAGATCGTGTACAACACACCACAGCTTATTACTTCCCAAACTGCTGATGGATTTACTAAGGGCCCCACTCAGAGGCTGCTATAGAACAAGATCCTACAACCATTGTGTCAGAACCCAATTATTAATGGATCCAGTTAGCCAACACACCCTTAATGCCCTCAAGGTCCTCATGTCAATTTCCGTACTCTCAATAATTCGTGTGACTTAAGTGAGCAGACCACCAGTCATTTGTGCTGCCTCTGGTCTATCAGGGAGTTAGACCTTATAAGACCCTCCTGAAGAAGGCACGAGTCATGATGGTTCTCACAAATCTAAAATTTTGGTGTGGTCATCTTCTCTCAACTCTACCCAACAACGTCAGCTAGAGAAGGTACAGAAGAGGACCTGCAGAATCATGCTGGGCGCAGACTACTCCGGCTACAACAATGCTCTCTCCACCATGGAAATGCCATCCCTCAGTGACCTCCACTGCCACCTACTGCCATCTGCAGCCCCGCCCAACTTGCGCAGTCAGCCACTACAACAAAATTCAGCCCATAAGAGCTTGCACTGATAATATAAGAATAGCACCATCCCAACTATTGTTAAAATAATAAACAGCTCCAGATTTATGTACCGTACAGCCCTGTAAATGTATTGAACGTATATCATTATGTCTAAATCGCATGTAAGTTTGTATATTTTCAGCCACCAGCTGCAACGCTATTAATAAACCGTTTATTATTTTTATCATGCACGCACGCACGCACACACACACACATATTGCAGAAACTAAGAAGTCTGGACTTTTTGGTCATTCTGCAAACAACATTTGAAAAGTCAATTCTCAATACTATAACTACAGGTACACCACCGATTTTCTGGCACCTTTGGTTCCTGAGCCTTGCCAGACCATTTGTTTTGCCGGATTAACAGAGGTCATATATAATAATTAGGCAATGCACCTCTGATCCACTATCTATACACCTCCTGGTATCTCTAAAGCACCATGGCTGCTAAAAACTTAAATTAAACAAATATTAAATGTAAAATAAATGATTAAATGAAATACAGGCTGTATAAATGATGCAGGTTTATTAATTACTGACAAAGAATGTTGCAGTAACAGTACTGCCACTCCTAGAGTGGCAATTTGTAGAGTTTTACAAATACTGAAGATCACTTTCTGCAAAGAATCTCATTACCTTTTCTCTTTGCTTCTTTATATTATACACAGTTGACGAACCAATAACATACTGATCACACGGTCAAGTTTTCTCAAGAGTTCCACCTTATCTTGTATTGTTATGGACTGGTGTTTACGCTTTACACCACCACTGACACTTGTACGTGACTTTGAAGCCATAGCTGGGGTTAAATGTGGGCAAAATAAGCTAAGAATCACACAAAATCAAAGGGCTACCACCAGCAACTGCAGAGTAAACAAAGTGAGCGCGGTTAACACGTAACACCATCTGTGGCAGCCCAGTAAACTAATCTAGAAGTTGTGGGAATTTCGTCCACATTAAAAGAGGTGCCGGACCATCTGTTCCCAGAAAAATGGTGGTGTACCTGTACTACTACTAATAATAATAACAATAAAAAACATTAATAATAACAAAAACAATAATAATAATAAAAACTGCCACCACCGCTCTCCCTAGAACAGCTAAAACAACGTTGATAACTCCCGAGCCCCAAATAATAAAGCCGTACTCACCATTCATCTCCTTCATGGCTCGAATGTAGTCCTGCGGGTCAGAGAAGCTGATGAAGCCGTAGCCTTTACTTTTATTTGTACGTTTATCCCTCACCACCTTAGCCTTGACGAAGGACGAGAAGTGGCTAAAATAACGAGTGAGCAATTCGTCGGTGACATCGTTCCCCAGGTCACCGCAGAATATCCGGAAATCATCTAGGGGAAAAAAGACGTTACGGTAAAACCTCCACTTAATGGGACAATATGGAGAGAAAAGTCCGTTATATCAAGGTAGATGCCACCCAAGCCACTCTGCTGTAGAACCAAGTCACCAGAAATTCTTACTCCTAAGATCTGAAGTGATAATTAAATATTTTACAAACGAATAACTTATTCTTATCCTACTCCCTAAGTGAAAAACTCTAACAATCTCCTGTATTGGACTCGTGTGTCATTTAATCAGTGGGTCTCTCAAAGTCATATATATTTCAACACTAAATTCTGGTAATCAAGGCAGCATCTACTAAAACCACTCATACACTTACCACTGTCCCACTCATTGAGAGAGTGATCTTCCCATATCTGTCCACCAGCACACCTCAAGTTCTTCTTGTTGCGTGACTTCCCTCCTCCTCCTCCACCTCCTCCTCCTCCTCCTCCGCCTCCTCCTCCTCCGCCTCCTCCTCCTCCTCCCCCCTCCTTCTTCTTCTCCTCAGTCGCCACAGGTGGAGGGTTTGGCCCATCTTGTCTAGTGATCGTTGTTGTTATTGTACTGGCTCTTACCTGTAAATTAATAGTCAATGGAAGAATTTTTCAATTGAAGAAAACCAATTACTCTATGGTAGACTATTAATATGAAACCCCATTTGATGACTGAAGGGAAGGAAGCAAGTGGTCTGCAAGAATCTGTTCACTAAATACCTTCTCTGTGTCCTTATCTAAGAGGACAAACAGTTAATTAGCCAATAAGTTTCACATGAGGTATACTATTTTTGTTGTAGTGTGTTTGGGATTGACTGTGTGTGAATCATTTACTGCACTGCAAACTGTATGAATCCTTTATGAACCAAGGAAATATAGGAATAGCTTTGTAAATTTTAAAGTTATGTTAATCTTCCTCACCTGTCTTGATTCCCAGTAATAATTCTGGCGGGATCTCAATTAAAGTAAATAATTTATTGTGTGGTAAGGATTGGACCTCAGACACAGTAGTACAGTGACTAACTTATTACAGTGAAACCTCTATTTAGTGAACTATATGCAGTGTATCGACAGGAAAGTTTGTTATATCGAGGGTCTGCTAGATGTAAAACCCCATCTAACAAACTACAGTACTGTATATATGAGATCAAAATCCATTATATCAAGGGTTCATTAGATCTGAATACCCCACCTAATGAATTATATGGAGAGATAACTCCATTACAGTATATAGAGGTTTCACTGTATCATTATTTGTGGAAGTGCATTACCTACTTATAAAGGCCGCACCAAACTTCTTAGCCGTGACAATTATTCATTACTGTAAAGCTAAAGAATCATAAAAAGAATACTTATTGTACATGAAGACATACCACTAGTACTAAAGATACAGTTGGTGTTGGGTACTCTACCTTTTCTGCCATTTCCTGAGCTTGTGTCAGCAGGTTAAGAGCATGTTGTGTCGCAGCACTGACAGAGTCTGGCTTCATCTTCTTCTTCTTAGGTTCAATCATTACATCTCCGGGTGCATTAGGGCCCTGCACAGTGACTGCACTAGGTGGAGTTTCAGACTGTTTACTTTCACTCTTAGTAGATTGAGTTGGGTAGAGTTTAGGAGCAGAACTGAAAATAAATTAATTCTGTTAACATAGTAAATACTAATAATAACAATGAAAATTTCTAAATTATGGTCCCTCACTGAATGGTAACACAGCACATATATGCATAAGTCATGGTGATAACTGAAGCGACATCAGCAGCAAATATTTATAGCTTAATGCTGATAACACAGGCACACACTAAGCCTCTTCCTACATGGAGCAGGAGTTAGACTCACGATCAATACAAACCCTGTTGTCAGTCTCACTAACTGCTGAAACAAATGTGTTTTGCTGTGGTGTTCCTCAGGTCCCAATATGTGTGTAGGTTACCACTCTCTCCATATCACTTCTAACTCAGTATACGGCTCAACAACACGCTCTCTGATTATACACACTGCTACTATGTACCTGCATGTTCACTCCATTCTTAACCAGGACATTCTTTCATTTATCATTATTACAATAAATCTTTTTCACATATATATAATACATACATTTACATTTACATACCCAACTAGTCTTTGCCATTGTGTGTTTTGGGTCACATATATGGGGACTTGCATAGGCCAGATTTTAGTGGATGAATTTACAATGCTGAAGTCTGATGAAGGAGATTTCTGATAACTGTGTCACTTGAGGAGCAGCGGAGGAATACAAGTTCGTAGAGTTTATACTTTTTTCATTGTTGACTGAATCAGTAAAGAATTGGATGAGGTTTGGATGAGATCACCTACCCAAAGGGCTTCCTCTATACAGTACACAATAATAGGGGTGTTAAAGAAGAGGAGTGATATATCTAGTGACAATAGGGGGACTCATTATGGATGTGTTTATTAACAAGTTCCAGCAGTGAGAACAAACTACAGAGTATATCTAATGGTGTGCTTTCAGGCACTAGCTTTTTTTATTGACTGATTGAAAAAGATTACTGTTTAACCAGAACAATACAGATACAGAGTGGACAATGTGAACAATAATGACATAGCTAGGTAAGGCTTGGTTAGGTTAGGGATTTTGTCAACGTTATCTACAGAAATATAAGATTTAAGGCAATAATGAGGAAAGCGGTATTTCTTCTTCTGAGGCAGGAGACAACGGTGAGCAGTGGATTAACTGTACCTGGTTAGTGAAGAGGTAATTCATTGTTGCAATATCAGATTGTAGATAACTGATCAGTTTTGTGTCAACATTTTCCCTCACACAACACATTTTGTGTCAACACTTTCCCTCACACAACACATATACTGTACACCACTTACTATGAATTATCATCACACCTTTTCAGTGGTTCAAATTTGAGAGAGAAAAGAGAATGGAAGAGGTTGAAGTGACTCCTGCCAAAGGACAGCTCACACTCCTCTACAAAGATGTGTAATAACAGCACGATGTTGACTCTAGGTACAGTAGTCTTATTAGTTTAGAGTAGTTAAAGATCAAGAGATTCAAATATAAATATCTTGAAAATCCTGGGTAGGTAAGTACAGCAGAGGGGAGAATATAGTTATAAAAGTTGTGTGAAGTTTACTTACCTAATGACTGTGGGTGGTTTAGAGATGACTGCTGGTATGAAGGGAGGACCTGGCAGTGTGGGACCGTGGTGCTGTTGAGACTGTAGCATCCCTGGTGGTGGAGGAGGAGGGGGGTGGGCACCTCTCAGGGGACCAGGACCACCAATGTGAGGTGGGCCCTGATTATGAGGAGGCATCTGATTAGGTCCCTGTGGACCATAACCGTGACCGCCCGGCCCTGGTGGACCGTGACCTTGAGACGGATGTGGAGAATGTTGACCTGGTGGACCATGTGGACCCATCCCAGGGGGACCATGGTTTGGAGGGCCAGGTGGACCATGGCCCGGAGGTCCATGGTGATCATGACCAGGTGGTCCATGTGGAGGGCCATGACCAGGTGGTCCATGTGGAGGGCCATGACCTGGTGGTCCATGTGGAGGGCCATGACCTGGTGGTCCATGTGGAGGGCCATGCCCAGGTGGTCCATGTGGATGACCATGCCCAGGGGGTCCATGTGGAGGGCCATGGCCAGGTGGTCCATGTGGATGACCATGCCCAGGAGGTCCATGTGGAGGACCATGACCAGGTGGCCTATGAGGAGGGCCATGAGGAGGTCCATATCCAGGGGGTCCCGGTGGTCCAGGATGTCTCGGTGGTCCGGGGGGTCTCATAAAGCCAGGGGGACCACCACCCATCATAGGCCCCATCTGAGGACCATCACACATCATATCTGAAACATTGGTCTGTGTCACCAATATGACTTACAACAATACTAAAACAACTACGCTAAATAATTACCTTAACAATATCCAAACAGAGAAAATGTGAGTCATATAACAGACTTCTCTCTCCATATAATCCGTTTGATGGAGGTTTCACATCAAATGGATCCTCGATATAATGGGCTTTCCTCTCCATATACAGTAGTCTGTTATATAGAGGTCTCACTGTACCAGACACTTGACCTGGGCAACTCATAAGGCTGGCATGGAGATGATGCTCACCCAGCTTTGTGTGTTGTGACTGACACATGGTGAAGTTATCTTTGCTGATAATACCTAAACCTTGGAGAGTGTCATGTAGGGTTCTAGGTAACTATAGATGTAGAGAGAGACTTTTTCAAGGCAATTTATGGGTTCTAACAGCCTAGACTAGACCACAAGAGTCACCAGTGGAGGTCACAGCCTTAAGGAGTCTCTTAAATGAATTGTCTTGCCAAACACCGAATAACAAATATAGACAATGAAGAATGCAACATACCGTCCACGACCATTAGTTTATTAAATAAACATCAAAGGGCGGGGGCACCAAATAGTGTAAGATCTGAAATATTAGTTCAGAGTGATTGTTTAAAGGTTTACAAAAAGTTTACGAATATCAAGGTGTGATATCTCAGCCTCTAATTGAGTTAAGAGAATGATTCAAAGAGCATATGAAAGGTATGTTGACTGGGTATAAAAAAATAATATACTATAATCAAAACAACTTAATTTTATTAGTAAAAATATATGACCATTTAAATTTTCTGGGGAGTTATGCCCCCCTTTGGGCCAAATTCGTTTTCTTTCCAACAGAATGAGCTTCAACTGTATTTAAACCAGAAACAATCAAGAAAGAGTTGTGTATTTGCTCATGATTTGCCCTGGAATCACTCATGAATGGAGTGTACTGTATAGAAATTTGCTAAATACAGTATTGTACTGTACATGGGCTTAATGGTTTTTTTTTATAAACAAAGAGTAAATGAAGATGGTATTATGGGGTATCTTATAATTCTAATGTTAAAATGTAAATAAAATGTATAGAAACACACAACTCACTGTGATGCATGTGTTGACGAGCAAGCTGTGGGGGGATGAAGCCAGGAGGAGGTGGTGGTGGTGGTCTAGTTTGCTGCTGTTGCTGCTGCTGTTGTGGCAGGTTACTATTTGGTCCACGTTCTGATGGCATTCTGGGCCCAATATATCCACCAGGCGGCGGTGGAGGCGGAGGAAGAGGGGGAACTCCATTGCTGGTACTTGAACCACTAGACACTGGAGGCCTCTTATGTTCTCCCTGGACCTCAACATTGACACCAGGTGGACCTGTAGGACCACCTGGTGGACCTGGAGGCCCCGCAGGACCTGGAGGGCCAGCAGGACCTGAAGTAACAGATGGACCGGAAGGAACAGGAGCTCCTGGAGGACCACCAGACAGAGCAGGAATACTAGGAGGTCCATGAGGTCCCGGGGGACTGCCGGTACCTGGAGGTTCAGGATGCTGTTGTTGCAGTCGCTGCTGAACCTACAGATGTACAGTACATTATACAAGAGATACTGTACAGTACATTATACAAGAGATACTGTACTATACTTGTTGAGGTAATTACCACAAGTGAGAATTAGCTTAGAAGTGAGTATCGTACACAGCCATGACAATGACTGCACTGCTGTTACTGACAGATGAGATATAGAAAGAACATTTACACATGAGTTACTGTTGAGGAAGGATTGCAGAAGCACAGATGTTAAATCAATACACAATAAGAAATAAAGAGTTTTGTATAGAGAAAATTGCAAGAGCTGTTATTGTCTGGCTGATAACAAATAACTGTGACATTTGGTAAAAATTTAATAGGTATTGTACCACACTGATCTAAATGCATGAAAGATGTGGCATACAGTGGGAGATGTATAAGAAGAATTACCTGTACTAAAAAAAAAAAGGATTTGTAGGAAGAAGAAGAGAACAGGAGTGAAGAACATACAGGTGAGAGATGTTGACATGAGAGTGTGCACTGTAAACAATAAATATACAAGTTTCTACCTTTGAGTTGTATCCTTTGATCATACTGCATAGGTGGACAATAGGGGGAGTCTTGACAACAATGAAAATACTATTCAAAGACTGCAGGCCTGACCATACCTGAGTGAAGGTGTTTGATCCTATGACAGCCCTGGGAGGTGGTGGTGGAGGCTGGAGAGGAGGGACGCTACCAGTACCAGGAGGACCTGATATTTCTGCCTCAAATCTGTAGAGTTATTAAAACACTAATGAATTAACTCAACATAACAGTTCCTCTACCAAACACATACACAGTACAGGAGTTATCAATTATAAAGTTCTCTTCTTTCCTCGGACATAACCCAACCACACTTCTCCCCGGCTGAAGACGCTGATACACCCCCTGATGCTAACATTGATGTTGGTGCTGGGGTTAACAGAAGAGTTCTATCTCACTTTATACAGGTGAAAAAATTATCTGATTGCTGTAGACATGATTTATGGCACTTTACATAAAACTTTTAACAAATAAATGTGGCCTGTATATAATAATAATATTGGTTGCCCCTCGTGTAGCGAGGATGGCAGGCCCAAGGACCACCTAGGCGTGAATTTGCTTAAGGTGGAGAAGCTGTTGCCAACACAACCACACACTGAGTTAATAAGCTGCATGACCCAGTGTCAAGGAATAGTCCAAGAAGACCGGACAATTCGCCAACTGCACTGGCTAACCATTATCCCGGACCATTATCCTGGAACACAATCTGCAAATTGATTAACATCCAGGTTTCCAATTACTGCTGGGTAGGCAGAGGCAAATGGGGTGAAGAAACTTGCCCATAGTTTCACCCTGTGTGACGATCAATCAACATTATAATTACTGTATTACTACAAGAGTTATGTACCAGTGTGGTGATGGGAGTACAGCATGACAAAATGCAGTCTACTACAACATACACTACCACATACTTCACACGTCTCCACCACAACATACACTACCACATACTTCACATGTCTCCACCACAACATACACTACCTCATACCTCACACGTCTCCACTACAACATACACTACCTCATACCTCTCCACCACAACATACACTACCACATACTTCACAAGTCTCCACCACAACATACACTACCTCATACCTCACACATCTCCACCACAACATACACTACCTCATACCTCACACGTCTCCACTACAACATACACTACCTCATACCTCTCCACCACAACATACACTGGGTGCCGAACAAACACCCCCCCCAGGTCAAAATTTAATACAATTATAATCTCTACTGGGAATACAGCTACTCCTCGACTTACGACATACTCGACCTACGACCACCCAGACATACGACCGCCTCAGTCGTACCAAAATTTTGTCAAATTACGTATTTTCGAGTCCCAACGTTAGTGATTGCGCTGGGTACTGACAAAATTTTCGTTTGTAATTCCCTTTAAAATGGCTGGCAAGCTTAGAGGTGAGAGTTTTGTGGTGCTGAGAAGAAAAAGAGACACCCATTTTAGATTTTCTATGTATTATTTAAGCATTTTCGAATTATGACCAATTCGACTTACGACCTGGGTTTGGGTCCCTAACCCCATTGTAAGTCGAGGAGCAGCTGTATACTGTTTTTGTTTGCCTTGCAGAGTTTTAAAATATCTATTATGCATTCCCTAAGTTGTAACAAATTTCAACAAGAGTGTTTGAAGAACCTGTGTCTGTACTTTGTGAATGAGAGGAAGACCTTGGATGAACAGCATCAAGTAGAGGCAAAATAAACTTTATACATTAACCTTATCATTTACATAGTGGATACATGTATGGCGGCCGTACGCCAAATATCACACTGGATATAGGTATGGCAGCCATATTGACGGATTGTGTAGTAAATGGTTTGGTTAGGTTAGGTTAGGTTAAGTTAGTCAGAATGGCCATCCCAGTAACTATCATTGTATAGTCTGCCCACCATGCATGCACACTATATTGCCATGCCAATAAACATCGACGTTTCGCATACGGTTGCTGTATCTACTTTAGAATATGGTGCTTCATTTGTTGCAGACTTTGGCTATATACTATATGATGATCCTTTCATAATGTTTATTTTTATGGTTGTTAATATGTTGTCCATTTGTTCCCCTACACTCACACCACTACCTTGTTCCTCCCACGTCATCTCCATCACTCACCGGCTCATCTCATCATCAAGTTGTCTTCTTTTGTCATTATTTGTCGCCATGATGAAAGCTTAAGTCAATATGCCAGTTAATAAATAGAGAAAGTTATCACAATATTTAATAAAACTTGAAATTTGACAAAACAAACAAGATCCTCGACCAGTTTGTTTACATGTGGTGAAGAACGTTTACACCGGTGTTAGCTTCACAGAGGAGAATAAAGATATATATGTCTGTATTTATTATAATTTTGATAGAAGTATATTTGTATAAAATTTAAATGATAAAAAGTCAATTATGTTAATATTTCGTTGAGTATTTGTAGGTGTAGTTAATTTCAATATTGAATAAGATTACACTAAGATCTGCAGCTAATCCGTATGTTTAGCAGAACGAGTGATGTTAATAAGTAACCACGTAAAACAGTGTTGCCAGTGCCAGGTTGTTTGTTTTCTTGCCAAGTTGGGCTAGTTTTAAGTATATTGGCCGTTTTCACGCCAAATTGGGCTAGTTTTTACTGGGGTTCATTGAATAAAAGTATGATATTTAATAAACGCATAACAGATAATAGAAAAGTTGTATTTTATAAAGTATTTTTCTTTACTTTCCTAAGCTGCCTCCCAAAAGCTGAGAATGCCTTAACGATGCCGTAGCTACTTTACACCCGAGCAGTTGCTTTCACTTTTTACTTTTTACTTTTATCCTCTTCGTCACTGATCGGCTTGTTAGCCGCTTGGGCGATCGGTCACTACTCTGATTACTTTTCCTTTTCATTTGTCTTCTTGACCAAAAGATTGGCTCGCTAGCCACCCGGGCGATCGGTCACGTCTCTGTCACGCACTGTTGGCAAATACTGGACATGCACCGGCTCTTGACTTGGAGACCTGCTCTCATATCTGGGGTGGGTCTTCTGTCCAACTGTTAGATAGGGTGGAATCAAAGGCATTTCGTCTTATTAACTCCCCTCCTTTAGTTGACAATCTTTCTTCCCTTTCTCTTGGCCGCAATGTTGCTTCACTCTCTCTCTCTTACAGGTACTTTAACGGGCAATGTTCGGTGGATTTGGCGTCCTGTGTACCGCCGGCAAGACCGTGGGCTCGTAACACATGTCTTGCCCGCGGTACCCACCATTTCTTCTGTGGATGTCGGTTACACTAGAATAGCCAGTTATAGTACATCCTTCTTTCCTCACACAGCCAAACTGTGGAATGCTTTACCTTCATCTGTGTTTCCATACTCATACATTCTGACCACTTTAAAAAAGATGGTTTTCGGCATCTTCGCGGTGAAGATTAATATAATATTTTCTTTTCTATTTTAATTAATTTCCTTCTCTATTCTATTTTTTCGCCCCCTAGGCTCCCTGATGTGGGTCAATGTTGGACCTGTGCCTGAGTGTGGGTTAATCCTCGTGAAAAAAGGAATATATATATATATATATATTAGCCTGATGAGCCCATGATCAGATTGGGAATTGGACCACCAGGATACTAGACCTGGTGGTCCAGAGAAGCCTCGTCATAGCCATGGCTCGTGGGACCTGGATTCTGAATCTCTGGCGTGGGTGATATATATATATATATATATATATATATATATATATATAGTTCTGTTGTTTTTATTCAAGACATCTTCAGTTGCCTCTGAAGATGTCTTGAAAGACGAAAGCTAAGGTGCTCCGTTGTTTCCCTTTTCCCGTGTGATTTTATCAAGATTTATCTTATCCACGTTTTCATTGTGGATCTATATATTTATATATATATATATATATATATATATATATATATATATATATATATATATATATATATATATATATATATATATATATATATATATATATATATAT